TGAATCCCACTTGATTAAGGTGGATGATTCTTTTTATGTGCTGCTGGATTCGATTTGCAAGGATCTTGTTGAGAATTTTTGCATGCGAATTCATCAAGGATATTGGCCTATAGTCCTCTTTTTTTGATGGATTTCTGTCTGGTTTGGGAATCAGAGTGATGCTGGCTTCATAAATGAGTCCGGGAGTTTTCCTTCGATTTCTATTTTTTGGAATAGCTTGAGAAGAATTGGGATTAATTCTGTTTTAAATGTCTGGTAGAATTCCCCAGGGAAGCCATCAGGTCCAGGGCTCTTATTTGTTGGGAGATTTTTAACTAATTAGATTTCTTCACTCGTTATGGGTCTCTTCAGGTTTTCTATTTCTTCCCCTGTGAATTTTGATAGTGAGTGGGTGTTTAGGTATTTGTCCATTTCTTCTAAGTTGTCCAATTTGTTGGCATATAATGTTTCATAGTATTCCCTGATAATTGCTTGTTTTTCTGAGGGGTTGGTTGTAATAAGTCCATTTTCATTCATAATTTTGTCTATTTGGGTGCTCTCTCTTTTCTTTTTGATAAGTTTGGCTGAGGTTTGTCAATTTAGTTTATTTTTTCAAAAACCAACTCTTGATTTCATTGATCTTTTCAATTGTTTCTTTGGTCTCTATGTTGTTTATTTCTGCTCTAATTTTTACTATTTCTCTTCTTCTACTGGGTTTAGGGCATTCTTGTTGTTCTACCTCTAGTTCCTTTAGGTGAGCTCTTAGATTTTGGACTTGCGCTTTTTTTAATCTCTTGAAATAGACCTGGAAAGCAATGTACTTTCCTCTTAGGACTGCCTTTGCCACATCCCATAGATTTTGAATTGTTGTGTTTTCATTTTCATTTTTTCCATATATTTTTTAATTTCATCTCTAATCGCCTGATGGTCCATTCATTCTTTAGAAGGGTGTTTTTTAATCTCCATGTTTTTGGAGGTTTTCCAGACTTCTTCCTGTAATTGATTTCAAGTTTCAAAGCATTATGATCTGATAGTGTGCATGGTATGATCTCTATTCTTTTATATTTATTGAGGGCTGCTTTATGTCCCAGTATGGGATCCATCTTGGAGAAAGTGCCATGCGCACTTGAGAGAAAGTAAATTCCCTGGCTTAAGGATGTAAAGTTCTAAATATATCCGTCAGATCCATCTGGTTCAATGTGTCTTTCAAGTCCATTATTTCTTTAGTGATTTTCTGTCTGGTTGACCTATCCATTGCTGTAAGTGGAGTATTAAAGTCCCCTGCTATTAGCACATTCTTATCTATAAGCTTGTTTCTGTGTGTGATTAATTGTTTTAGATATTTATGTGCTCCCATATTCGGTGCGTAGACATTTATGATTGTTAGTTCTTCCTGATGGATGGACCCTGTAATTATTATGTAGTGCCCTTCTTCATCTCTTGTTCTTGTCTTTAATTTAAAGTCCAGTTTGTCTGATATAAGTATAGCTACTCCGGCTTTCTTTTGATTTCCTGTAGCATGATATATATTTCTCCATCCCCTTACTTTTTATCTGATGGTAACATCCAGTCTAAAATGAGTTTCTTGTAGACAGCATTTAGCGGGATTTTGTTTTTTAATCCATTCTGCTACCCTATGTCTTTTGATTGGAGCCTTCAGCCCATTTACATTCAGTGTTATTATTGAAATATGTGGGTTTAGAGTCATTGTGTCCTTTGTGGGATTCATGCTTGTGATGGTGTCTCTGGTATCTTGTGTTCCTTGCAACACTACCTTCAGAGCATCCCCCTCAGGATTTCTTGTAGGGCTGGCTTGGTGGTGACAAATTCTTTCAGTTTCTGTTTATTTGGAAAGGTTTTTATCTCTCCTTCTATTCTGAATGACAGGCTTGCTGGATAGAGGATTTTTGGCTGCATATTTTTTCCGTTCATCACATTGAAGATCTCCTGCCATTCCTTTCTTTCCTGCCGAGTTTCATTAGTATGGAGCTCCTTACTTCTCCGCCATATTGCCCCCTCCCTTCTTCTGCTGTGTTTTGTCTGCTCTTTCCCTCAAGCAAGTCTTCTGCAGAGATTCTCTTTGCCTGCAGTGTGGAGTGTTCGGGCTTTTTCCAGAGTGCGGTGAGTATTAACTAGATTTACTCTAGTCTGTTTGTTAAAAGGCCTGATTCTCTTTCCATTAGAGCTTAATATTTGCAACACTATATGGTCAGTAGAAATGATATGTGTGGGAAGTTTGTCCTGGTCTTCTGGGGGAAGGAACCCACTCCTCTGGTACTCAGGCACATTTGGTAAAGAAGAACTTGTGCAATGCAGGGGGTGGGGCAGGGTGTAAGCAGTTCAGGTTTCCAGTCATGCTGCTGCTGCTCACTGAAGTCAGTCTGTGCTGGTGGGCAAGAGAACAAATGGGGCCAGTTATCCCCCTTGTCACTAGAGAGGTGAATTCATGCCTGCCATTATCTAGGAAGCCTTCACAGAAGAGTGAAAATCTCCTCTCAGGTGTCCCAGGTATCCCTCAGATCCCTGCCTTCACCCTTCCTATGTTTGAGCCATCTCCCAACTTGGCATCATCATACACCTGTGTTTTATTTCAGGTGTGCTGGACTTCAAAATTTCAGAACCTGGTATAGCAAGGACCTGTGCTGGTTTTCTGGGGGTGGGTATCACTCTGATAAGGCTGGTGCCAGTTTGTCTACAAAGGCCAGTCACATCAACACATAGGAGCTTGGAGTTTAGAATAAAGTGTGGCAAAAAGCCCGAGTCCATGTTAGCCACCCAAGCAGTTGTCTCTACCTTTATGCGTAAGGGGCTAGGGTGCACAGTTTGTACTCCCTGGTTCTTTTTCCTCTCAGAGGCAATGCCACCTCTCCAAGATGCATTCCAAGAAGGGAAAATTGTCTCTCCTTATGTACCCCAGGGGATCCTCAGATCCCATCATGCTCCTGGACCTCTACCCTCCTTCACAGGAGTCATGCAGCACCTACTGGGGTTAATACCAGTCATGCCACAGACTTCTGAAACTTCAGTATTTGAGATCCACTCGTTTTAAAATATCATGATGGGGGTGCCTGGGTGGCTTAGTTCAGTTAAACTTTCAACTCTTGGTTTCAGCTCATGTCAGGATCTCATGGATTTTGAGATTGATCCCAACATCAGGCTCCGTGCTAACAGCATGGAGCCTGCTTTGGATTCTCACTCTTCTTCTCTCTCTGCTCCTCTAGCACTAGCACTTGCACTCTCTCTTTCTCTCAAAATAAGTAAATAAAATGAAAAAATAAAATAAGTAAATAAAATCTCATGATAACCAACCCCTCTCATTTTCCCAGTCAATAACTTTGGAGAAGTGTTCTCCGTGTGCTATGCTCTTGTTCTCTCTCTCTCTCTCTCTCTCTCTCTCTCTCTCTCTGTCTCTCCTCTCTCCACATCCTCTTTCTCCATGATCAGGGCTCCCACTCCTCTGCATCACCCATTATCCTTTCTTCCCAAAATTATATCTCAGCACTTCCTACCTTCCATGATGTGTCCTTCATCTCCCTCTAGTTGTGCAACTTGTTCTGTCAGTCCTCAGATCTATACTTTGGGTGTTCAGAATGATTTGATATTTATCTAACTGTGTTCAAAGGATGAGGAAAGCATAGGGTTATCCTCTACTCACCTATCTTAACTTTGCCTTTAGAGTATAAAGTATGTTGATGTGCTGCTATAATTTTGATAGCACGTGTCATAATAAATAGAAGGTGTTGGGGGTGTTGGTCAGTAGATATAAAGCTAGAAGAAATTGGAACAACATAAACCACATCAATGGGTGCCTAGTTATCCTGAAAGTACAAGTCAATTAATGGTTGGAATAGAGTCTTTGGAAATCTGTGAAAAGCCATGTTATTGAATATAAAAGAGGCTCAAGTAAAATAAAGTCCAAAACTGCCATATTAGAATGGATAATAAAATAAGCAATGAAAAAAATATATGAGAATAAATAGGCATTTTTTCCACCTATTTGTGGAAGTGATCAAAGAATTTCATCATGCTTTAGTTGAATTTAGCTATACAAACTATATACTGAATTAGGATATTTCTAAAGATACAGATACAATATAAGTCAGAAAGGAAACAACCTTAAAATAATAATACTAAGGAAGAATAAGGGTGGGATTGTACTCTTAGCCATCTAAGATATCATTACAAATAAAGAATTGGAGACATTATAGATATGTTGCCAAAAATACCCTAAAATAAATGGTAGATTTGCTATTTTTATTTGGACTCATTTATGGATCTACCCAATCCATCTTTTGTTCTTTGCATACTCTGTGGCATGGCTGTTAAGGAGAATTAGACATAGTCTATTCCTTGGGGACACTCATAGAACTGTTGTGACGATAAAATAAAATAATGGATTCAAAAATGCTTCCAAAAGTTAATGTTAGACAAATGCTAGGGGTTTTTTATTATAAACTCCCAGTAGGTGTGATGACTACTTAATAAACTTGGATAGTGTATACAGATAGTTCACTTAAGTGAATTAGGTCTTGTGAGCATCTTTTTCCTTAATTTTTAATTTAATTATGGGAATTATATGTGGAAGGAAAAGGTTTTAGTAAGATTTTCTGTATAATTGCAATAATATAGTTACATAGATTATATGGAACCTTTTGTTGCAAAGCAGTTTATGTCCTTATCTCCTGATTTCATGCTGTGAAAATCAAAGACCATTATGGATGTGAAATATACATAATAAATTCTAATAGTTACATATGTGAGGGGTGATTATTTGCTTATTTTAAGGATGGAGATTGTTTTGCTCTCTCAGGGGAGGTACCTCTTTCATATCTCCTGTAAAATCTATTCCAGTTTCCAGTTTGAACTGATCCCTATCGTGCCCCTTTGCCCTAGTACAGACACACTTCTCTACCTTTTTACTGATGAACAGAAACAGTTTTTATCAGTTCAACCTAGACTACACGAGAGTATGATCTGTAACCCTCATCTATCTGTTTCCTCCATCTAAAAAGTGATCATTTAGTGGATGATGACAGCTTGGTAATGTACACTCCTGAGTGTGCAGGGGGGAGCCAATTTCTGAGAGCCAGGCATGCGAAGGAAAGAAGGATCATTTAAAATGTTTCAGCTGAAATAGACTGTTATTATTAGCACAAATAAGAATTTGTTGTTTCTCTTATCTGTAACATGAAGGAGTAGGATATGGACAATGTATGATGACCAAACTAACCAGCATTTTTCATTTACTCCTTATTGTGGTTCAGTTGTCTTTTCTGTGGAGTCAGTGCTATGTATTCATTTGGTGAAGATAGAATTGCTGGTGACAGAAATCAATGGGAATAGGGTGTTTTCAAAATGATATATTAAAGATATTAATAGTAATGGACTCCCGAATTCTTAATGCATATTCACTTGCACTGAATTATTTCATTTTTAGTGACATAACAATTTAATTTCATTTAGTCCAGTGACAAAAAACTATATCATAGATACCATATGATTATAAAATGGACTGGATAAAGCTATAAATAAATATAATTGTTTTCTCGCTCTACAATTCTCAGTGATCTTAATTTTATATATGTGATATCTTCTAATTCAATAAAGATCAGCTATATTCCATATTAGTTTGTCTGTTAAAATCCATGCATTGTACTAGAAAAAGAAATATTAGCTTAATATTAACTTCACTAATTTAGCTCATTAATTTTGACAACAAAAGTGTTATAGAGGAAGAGTCTTTGGATAATTTTGTTTCTTACATAATTCTCAGAACTTTAGAGACTTGTTGCAACCCTCTGATCTTTTCTTTTCATTCTCAGTGAAAGCCCAAATTCATCATTGGTTCATTTTTACATGTGCATCCAGAAGGCATCATTTATTGCTGTCGTTTGAAAGCCACTTTACTGATTCTCAGAAGAGAAATCACCTGCCTCTACCTGGCCACAATGTCTCATTTGACAACTTTGAAAGCCACAATTCAGTATAAATGTCCAAGAGTTCTACCAGGAAAGAAAGTTGTAAAGCCTACACTGTAAAGCCTGTTCTATCTTGAGTTGATTTTTTACTGGTGTATATGTATAGTTGGTTTTGATCTTTTACAGCTAACTGCTCAAAAACTTAGACTAGAATGATGTTCAGTATAAATCAACACCTACCCATTAAGATGTTGAACTTATTAAGGATAAATAACATCACTATGAAAAGAAATATTTTGGGTACCCGGTGTTTATATTTTCTAGCTTAGGAATGACTTATTTCACGAATTACAAATCAGTTACTTTTCTGGATTTTTGGTTTGTCATATTTGAAAAATGAGGAAAATACAAGATTCCTATCTCATAAGGAAATAACAGTTTTGAGCTAATTTTGTACACTCTGGGCAATGTGGACACATCATTTTCTCCTCTTCCATCAGTATTTGCTTAAAAGAAGTATGTCCTATATGCTCATGTAAGCATATCCTAATTCTAAATAACTTGCTTCTTAGTCTACTGTGTGTGTTTTCCTTTTATTATATTTAAAATATTTTTAAATTGTAAAAATATCTATCATATATGTAAATTATATGGCATAATAATATAAATGTCAGTGAACCCACCATACGACTCAAGAACTAAAACATTATAAAAATTAGCATTTATTTATTTATGTGCCCATCCCTTTCCCTATACTTCAGCCTCTCTCCCAAAGGTAAGCACGCCCCAAAATTTTGTAAATTTCTTGTTTTTTTACACTGATTACTTGAAATGAAATATTTATGTTTAGAAGTGACTTACAGGGGCTCCTGGGGGGCTCAGTCGGTTAAGCAGCCGACTTCAGCTCAGGTCGCGATCTCACGGTTCGTGAGTTCGGGCCCCGCGTCGGGCTCTGTCCTGACAGCTCAGAGCCTGGAGCCTGCTTCGGAGTCTGTGTCTTCTCTCTCTGCCTCTATCTTGCTCACACTCTGTCTCTCTGTCTCTCAAAAATAAACAAACGTTAAAAAATTAAAAAAAGAAGAGGAGTGACTTACAGAGTTACAGAATGTCGGAGCTGGAATGAACCTGGGAGAATATTCACCTCCACTCTATCATTTTAAGTAAAGTGAAATTGAGACCCATGGGAGGCAGAATGAGGATGTCTTGCTTTTGGGTGGAGACTTGATCATCACTTGGGAGGTGGGAAATATATTACTTATCTATGAGTCTACTATCTATTCAGTAATAACTGCAATCATAATAATTGATATTAAAATATTCAACAATAAAACATAAAACTTCTGCACAGTGAAGGAAACAAACAAAACTAAAAGGCAACTTGTAGAATTGGAGAAGATATTTGCAAATGATCTATCTTATAAAGGGTTAGTATCAAAAATCTATAAAGAACTTATCAAACTAAGCACCAAAAAACAAATTAATCCAGTTAAAAAATGGATAGAAGAGATGAATAGAAATTTTTCCGAAGAAGACATCAAGATGGCTAACAGACACATGAAAAGTACTCAATATCACTCATCATCAGGGAAATACAAGTCAAAACTACAATGAGATATCCCCCCTTACATCTGTCAGAATGGCTGAAATTAACAACACAGGAATCAATAAATGTTAGTAAAGATATGGAAAAATGAACCCTCTTACACCATTGGTGGGAATGGAAACTGGTGCAGCCACTCTGGAAAACAGTATGGATGTTCCTTAAAAAGTTAAAAATAGAACCACTTTACAACCCAGAAATCAAACAACTAGGTATTTACTCAAAGGATGCAAAAATACTGATTTGAAGGGGACACACGCACCCTGATATTTATAGAAGCATTAGCAACAATAACCCAGTTATGGAAAGAGCCCAAAGGTCCATTAACTGGTGAATGGATAAAGAAGATGTGGTGTATAGATACAATGGAATATTACTCAGCCATCAAAAAAGAATGAAATCTTGCCATTTGCAAAGATGTGGATGGGGCTAGAGTATATTATGCTGAGTGAAATAAGTCAGAGAAAGCAAATAACTATGATTTCATTAATATGTGGAAATTAATAAACAAAACAGATGAGCATAAAGGAAGGGGGAAGAAAAGGAGATGGAAGCAAACCATAAAAGAATTTTAAATATAGAGAGTAAATTAAGAATTAATGGAAGGAGGTGAGTGGGGAGGCTAAATGCGTGATGGGTTGTGATGAGCACTGGTTGTTGTATGTAAGTGATGAATCACTAAATTCTACTCATAAAATCAGTAATACACTATATGTTAACTAACTAGAATTTAAATAAAAACATAATTAAAATAAATAAATAAATAAATACATAGGTAATATCTTGGAAGGAGAAGCAATCTTTTCTAGGATTTTAAAGTTAAAGAAAATAATAATAAAACTAGGTGCTGTGGTTCTCAAATCATTATTTATGATTTAAAATTAAAAGAATTATATAATAACATATTTACAGAAAAACTGCCTATAAATCAAAATTGTATATATTATATATTAGTCTCTGAATTCTATTATATACCTGAAGCATCAGCACCACTATAAACTTTAAAATATGCAGTAATTTTTTTAAAAGACACATCTCAATGAAATATAATTTCTTTTTCCATCTTTTATTTATTTATTTATTTATTTATTTAATAGTTTATTGTCATGTTGGTTTCCATATAACAACCAGTGCTCATCCCAACAAGTGCCCCCCTCCATGCCCATTATCCCCCTTCTTCTCCCCGCCACACCCATCAGTCCTCAGTTTGTTCTCAGCATTCAAGAGTTTCTAATGGTTTACCTCCGTCGCTCTCCCCCACTACTTTTCCACTTTTTCTCCCCCATGGTCCTCCGTTAGATTCCTCCTAATCCTCATATATGGGCAAAGATATGGTAGCTGTCCTTCTCTGCCTGACTTATTTCGCTCACCATAACACCCTCAAGTGCCATCCATGTTGCTACACAGGGCCAGATTTTATTCTTTCTCATTTCCATGTAGTATTCCATCGTATAGATAAACCACGTCTTCTTGATCCATTTGTCCGTTGATGGACACTTAGGCTCTTTCCATGTTTTAGCTATTGTGGAGAGTGCTGCTATGAACATTGGGGTCCATGTGCCCCTATGTGTCAGCACTCCTGTATCCCTTGGGTAAATTCCTAGCAGAGCTATTGCTGGTTCCTTGGGGAGTTCGATTGTTAATGTTTTGAGGAACCTCCACACTGTTTTCCAGAGGGGCTGCACCAGTTGACATTCCCACCAAATACATATATATATACAAATACATATATACAAATTAGTATTATACATAAAATAATTTCAGACCAGCTAAACACATTAATTTTCGAAATAGTCCTTAGATATTGTAGCATATTCTTCCTTTGATATCAGTCATCACTTTTTAGAATTGATAACCTAAGACTTCTTTCTGATGGTTTCTCATTGTCACATTCCTTTTCTTGGTTACTGGATTCAATTAAGGGAAATTATGGATAAAATGGTATTCATTTAGCTAAGAAATATTATTATGGAATATTACACAGCTATGAAATGGATGAGATCTTGCCATTTATGACAGCATAGATTAACCTAGAGGGTATGATGCTAAGTGAAATAAGTCATACTGAGAAAGACACAAAACATATTATTCCATTCATATGTGAAACCTAAAACAACAAATAAACACAAAGAAGAATCAGACCTATAAATAGAACAAACTGATGGTTGTGGGGTGAATGGGAATAATGTGTGAAGGGGAGGGGGGAATACGGGCTTTTACTTATGGAATGAATAAATCATGGAATGGGACACCATGGTGGCTCATTCAGTTAAGCGTCTGGCTCTTGGTTTTGGCTCAGGTTATGATCTCATGTTTTGTGAGTTGGATTCCCACCTCGGGTTCTGTGCTTACAGTGTGGGGCCTGTTTAGGATTCTCTCTCTCTGCCTCTTCCTTTTCCCTCTCAGAATAAATAAATAAACAAACAAACAAAAAACAAATTTTTTAAAAAGGCACAACATAAGGGGAAAAAGAATAAATTTTACTAAAGTTTACCAAAGTATTTTTTTAAAAATGTTTCTTTTTTTTAGTTTATATATTTCTTTTGAGTATTGAGAGAGAGAGGTGAGCGAGTGTGAGT